AAAAAAAAAAAAAAAAAGGATTAAGGCCTGACCAGTCCCTGAATCTATATATGTCCAGTTCCTCTGTCTCCAAAAATGGTAGTGTTTCAGTCTTCACCATCCGTGGGCGTCTCATACCATATTGTTTTGGTGCCCCAGGGCACTGGTGGAGTGGTGTTAAGGCTACAGATTTTTCAGCTGTTTTAGCAAGCTGTGAGGAGGAGGAGAAGGATTGCTGGAAGCCTCCCAGAATGTGATCAGAAGGGAAGTATGCCAGTAAACTACTCTGGATCCTCTCAGTAGGACAGGGAATTCAGAGTGAAGCCAGGGTTCACAGTCTACTTCAGTGTAACCAGAGAAAAGGGAAATTTTGGCTGTCTGGTTTTAATGCTTTTCAGAACCCAAGTATTTGTGCGTTTGCCTGCACAGCATTCACTTTCAAGTGCCTAGTGTTCTAAACTTTTGTTTTCCTTTCTGCAGTGAAATCTCAAGACTTTCAGTAAGGCTATTTGAAAGCCGATTGCCTTGGAGATGGCCTTCAAAGGCATGTGCTTATTGGATGGGAATAAAAATTATTCTAATCCCCTGTTGGGAAAACAAAGCAGAAATTGAAATAGCATTTTCATAAAATGAAAATCCTAAAGAGCCTTGGTGAGGCAATAAATGCTCTATCAAATACAAAAAAAGGGAATAACAGCATTCTCATTTAGTGAACAAAGCAATCGGGTGCAGAGGTTGTAATGTATAATAGGCCTTGATGACTCAGACTTATGCATGCACTTCACCCTGTATGTAGGAAATAGTCCTCCTGAAGTCGATTGCAAAATGTATGTATTTACATGATCAGGACCTTGGGTTTGTATTAAAATATCTATATGAGAGAGAACATAAAATTAAAGGTTATACTATGGCACCCAGCTTCTGAGGTGGCTTTTTAACATGGATTTTAGGAGAGATTTAACTTCATAAAGAGCAAATAAGCATTGTACTGCAGAAAGTAAATCATAGCAAACAACTAAACCAACTTAATTCTTTTTAAAATCAGACATGACACTAATCTGTGCTTTAAGTGTACTACAGGTAGCAGATTTATGTCCTAAAACCTGATAGGTGATAGACTTGTTGAACGGTTGACCGTAACTTTTCAATACGAAGCAGGATTGTTTTACAGAAAATGAGGTGTGACCTCCAATGTTGAAATCCAACCAGTTTAAATGGCTTATGTTGA